CTAGAGGTCCAGTAAGGATCATCTCTTATTGATCCAGTGTTACTACAGGAGGAAACCTAAACTAAACTAACTTTATTTATACTGGATGGCTCTATCAGTTCTAAACTGTTCTTCCTAGAGGTCCAGTAAGGATCATCTCTTATTGATCCATGTTACTACAGGAGGAAACCTAAACTAAACTAACTTTATTTATACTGGATGGCTCTATCAGTTCTAAACTGTTCTTCCTAGAGGTCCAGTAAGGATCATCTCTTATTGATCGAGTGTTACTACAGGAGGAAACCTAAACTAAACTAACTTTATTTATACTGGATGGCTCTATCAGTTCTAAACTGTTCTTCCTAGAGGTCCAGTAAGGGTCGTCACTTATTGATCCAGTGTTACTACAGGAGGATACCTAAACTAAACTAACTTTATTTATACTGGATAGTTCTATCAGTTCTAAACTGTTCTTCCTAGAGGTCCAGTAAGGATCGTCTCTTATTGATCCAGTGTCACTACAGGAAGAAACCTAAACTAACTGACTTTATTTATACTGGATAGCTCTATAAGTTCTAAACTGTTCTAGTTCCTAGAGGTCCAATAAGGGTTGTGTCTTATTGCTAATTGGCCATTCTCTACTGCAAAACAGGAATCTGCAAAAACACCGGCGGAAAGAGCTAGGGTTGTTTGGTAGATAACCTTTACCTGCTGTCCATATTCCAAGAACCTTCGCTCGTAGGCATTCTTTTGAGTAACCGCCAGAGCTTAGTTGGCATTTGAGATTGAACGTTATTATAGTGCCTTGCAAATCTGTAGCCGATCTTGTCCACTAGATAAGGGGAAAATAAACTAATTTCAAAAAGAGAAAAAAGTGGAAAATACGAGTTTATTTACGTACTTTAAAATATAATATTTTGCTTGAGACGGTCAAGTTAATGTAAGATTCATTCAGCCATTGCAACTCCATTTCTGTATTGTTCTCAGGAAACTTTGCCAAGGCTTTTTCCAATGAACACTGTTGAAAGATCGTGTTCCGTATATCGTAACTGAATTGTATTGCTTGATCTTTGGGGCTATACGGTATCACTTGGAAAGGTTTAAATGGACAAACGGTGGCGTCTGTAAAACACAAAATGTAACTACGTACTTTAAGTTTAACAAAATGTTACTACTTAAATTTAAACAGATTATTAGCTATTTCAATTAAGGTTGTCCCCCGAGCGAAGCGGAAAAGTCGAATACGAGCGCAAAAAGCTGTTGGGAATCGCTAATAAATTCATTCATTTATTAGCGATTAAATTCATTCATTTATTAGCGATTAAATTCATTCATTTATTAGCGATTAAATTCATTCATTTATTAGCGATTAAATTCATTCATTTATTAGCGATTAAATTCATTCATTTATTAGCGATTAAATTCATTCATTTATTAGCGATTAAATTCATTCATTTATTAGCGATTAAATTCATTCATTTATTAGCGATTAAATTCATTCATTTATTAGCGATTAAATTCATTCATTTATTAGCGATTAAATTCATTCATTTATTAGCGATTCCCAGCAGCCTTTCGCGCTCGTATTCGACTTTTACGCTTTGCTCGAGGGACAACCTTAATTGAAATAGCTGTATACTATCATTACATACAACACCATAATATGATTCAATAGCATATGAAACAAAACACTCACCAACTCCAGACCGCATAAATTCACTGCTTACACAGCCAGACGAGTCACCGTACATAAATGATGGATTAGCTATTATAACAGGATTTCTAAAATTAGTTTTATCAGCATTGCACAAACAAGAGCCATCATACTGACATGTTGCTGAACTTGTACAAACACTTGGATCATTCGTACAACCATCTTCCCCAACACGGAAGCTGTCTGTAACATTTCGATTCACCAAAACCACTTCACAACCAGTCATAACCACTTTACACGACAAACAAGTAACCCACACTAACACCACATTGCATTTTAAAGACATATTTGTCAAACACGAATAACTATTTGGCAAATAAAGACGATTTTGAAGAGGTCTTTGCGAAGACGAATCAGTCCATAGGTGACATTTTGTTTAGTATAAAACATTTCTATCTTATTTACATTTATAAACACTTTATTTTTAAAGTAAACAGCATGATATCGGATTTTGTGACCATCAGATCGTATCCTCACGACTAAGCGGATATCGATTTAAGGGTTCCATATTTTGAGGCTTGCGTTCGAAATGTCGAAGTGCTTTAAATAATATTTTAGACACAAACCACAACATTTATTGTAAGGTACACTACAGTACCTACATTGCATGGTTGACCATGTTTGAGAGCGAAAATCAGCGGATATTTTTTAAATTACATGTAAATCGTTCGTGTGGAGGAGTGTCCCTACTTGTAGTTACATAATGCACTGTATAAATATAAACTAAACTAACTTTATTTATAGTGCATGGATAGCTTCATCAGTTCTAAACTGTTTTCCCTAGAGGTCCAGTAATGGATCATTTCTTATTCATCCAGTGTTACTACAGTACAGGAGGAATTGAGGAAACCTAAACTGAACTAACTTTAGTTATAGTGCATGGATAGCTCTATCAGTTCTAAACTGTTTTTCCTAGAGGTCCAGTAAGAATCATCTCTTATTGACCCAGGGTTACTGCAGGAGGAAACCTAAGCTAAACTAACTTTATTTATATACTGGATAGCTCTATCATTTCTAAACTGTTCTCTCTAGAGGTCCAGGGGGAGGGAAACACTGCTGAAAAATTTAGAAGATGTTTTTGTGCTAGTTTCCAGTCGCATGCGCGCGGCCCTGGAAAAATTGGTAAAAATACGTTCATTTAGACCGTGAAGAACACTACAATAGATTTGTCCTTTATCTCTTAAAACTTTAAAGTAAACATAGAAAATCAACTTTCTAGGGTGGCTATATAAACGAACTTAACCAAACATGCGAGCCACAGCAAATATAATCTGATTAATAATTTATACAAAAAGGGAATCGCCGTTTTATAACAAACATACTTGCAGGGAGGTGAGTCCGGGATTGGATGCACCGAGGTTGGCTGGAAGTTTCCCGAACTCACCGAGCGAAGCGAGTTGGGTTCGGAAAACTTCCAGTCACCCGAGATGCGTCCAGTCGGGGACAAGTACGTTTGGTGTTTATCACATGCCATTTTGGTAGAAAGTACTGATATGACGAATTTACACATTTCAGTATATATTACAATTTCTTGTTTGGATAACGAACATTTTAGACAAACAAACTTATGCTTAAATTGAAGATAAAACAATTCTCTAGAATATTTCCTTATTCTTGAAAAGAGAAAATGCACACATTCTGCGAAAACATTGCCAAGATTCATATAAACCTGCCCGTGCCGAACAAATTTCGGCGGCCATCTTTCTTCTCTTCCACTTTGAATACAGAATATTCCATTTTTATCAAACAAAATAAATCTTCGTCTGAAATTGTTCTCCGGAAATTTTTTTTTTCGAAAAAATTGCCCCGGGCCCCCACCTACCTCTCGGCGGCCCCGATAATGGCCGCCGCCAAAACATCGATCTCGAACCCACCTCCTAAACATACGTCAGCAGGTGGGTTCGAGATTGAACGCACCTCCTCGTAGCCAATAGGAAATCGCTAATACGCTAGGTATGAGATAATAGAGTAAACCAGGGTCAATTGTAGCAAAAAATGATTAAAATCAGAAAGAACAAATTTTGTGGGTCCGGTTTAGAACTGATGTGGCTATTTAGTATAAACAAAGTTAGTTTACTTTAGGTTTCCTCTAGCCTCCTCCGCAGCCATTTTTGAAAATATTTTACTAGCTTGCGATGTCATGTCTATATATAGCACTCATGAAACCTTAAATGGGCTAAGCAGCAGAATTTACTTGTAAATTTATACCTACTTCGATTGTGTAAACTGCAAAAAATTCAGGATTTTCAGGATTTTCTCTTGGGTCCGTTTTTGCAGAGAAGATTGAGTTTAGCTGAACAGCTGGGGTGGCTCCACCCCCCCCCCCCTACCAGGGGGTTGAATGTGTTAAAGCAAGGGCACTAAGGGGCACTATAAACTGGTTAAAGATGGCGAATGCATAGTTTTTCTTATGTTGTGAGATGAATTCCAGCCATTTTTTCTTAATTGTCGGGTTTCCAACTGAAAACTAATTTCCACACGTCACGAATTTAACTCAAACAATTTCATTTTTACTGCACTGAAACTTTGGTGAGAAGATTGAGTTTCAAAGGAGCAGTGGCGTGCTGGGGGGGGGGGGGGGGCGGGGGGCCACGGCCCCCCCAGCTGGCAATTCTTGGGGGGCGCAATTTTGCGGAATTTTGAAAGTGGGTGGGAAAAATTCCAGTGCGGAATTTTGAAAGTGGGTGGGAAAAAACGCATTTGAAAAAATATAGTTACTTCCGTCAAGAAGTATATATTTATATAGGCTTATAAACAGATCGAGACTAAGCGCATAAACGACAAAGTGACATATTAAATTACAGACTATTTGGTCTAACCGTATTGGCTAATTTGCTACTTCACAGCTCACACAAAATCGTTGATATAGAAACATGATCGGTGATCACACACAATGTCTCATTACCGGAATATTGGTCTTTGGGGGGCGCAAAAATGAAAAAGGGGCGCCGAATTTTGAAAGTGGGTCGGAAAA